ACTAAAAATGCCAAGAAAAATTGTAAAATAAGTGATATTTCTTATCACTATGAAGTTCTGATTAATTAAAAATAATAACTATGAAGGATGATGGTAAGAAGATAGGATGAGGTACAGAGGAACTAGCTAATAAGAAATGGATGATCTACTTAAGGGTTGGTTTGTTTGGTTTTGGGTTTTTTTCCCGTGGTATTTTAAACAATAGGAACTTAATGGAAAATTCCTAGTTTGATAGACACCAACATAATATGCTTTATGTTCAGTGATATTTTACGTTATTACTGGAATATCATATGTGGTTAGATTTTATAGGTGATTTTTGTTATGTAATTGCTTTTATGGTGCTGAACGCCCCCCCCCCCCACAAAGTATTTGTTGCATATGAAATGGGATACTTAGTGCTTTAAGAGGACTGACATGACACGACACTTCAACTGATATTTAGCAGAAAGGCCTTTCTATCAATGGAAGTGTTGTAGAAGGCAGGAACTTTGGGGATGGCAGGAGGTTCCTGGTCCTGGAGAATGACATAAAACTATACCCTGCTAGGGCTGGATGGTGTGGTGGGGCTACTTCCGGCAGGGCAGCTTCCAGGAAATGCCACACCTGTGCCTCCCTGGTGAAGGGTGAATATAGGGTGCCAGAAAGCTTCAGCCCCCACTGCCTTGTGAGTTACCCCATGGAGGAGAAAGGCTAGGGGAGCACACTCTGAGAGAAAAGCACAGGGGCCCAGGCCCACTGAGTGGGGCATGAGGTGGGACCCAGGCCCATAGTGTGGGACCTGGAGAAGGGTCCAGGTTGTCTTCAGACACCTGAGGCCTGAGTGGGTCATTAGACCATGAGTGGGGTACAGGCACATCTGTGGACACCTGAGACCCATGGAGTGCAAGGCCCCATAGCCCCTGTGATGGGGTAGTGTAGGATCTGGTGGCCATGTAGAGTAGGGCCTTATAGGGCCTGAAGGGCTGCACATGGGCCGACTGGAGTGGTGGCAGCCATGTAGAGTAGGGCCGAAGGGGCCTGAAGGACTGCACATGGGCTCACTGGAATAGCAGGAGTTGAGGCCCTAGTGAAAGGGGCATGAGTGTGAAGCCCTAATGGAGAGGGCATAAGTTGGAGGTCCTAGTGAAAGGGTGTGATTGAAGGCCCTAGTGAGAGTGCAGGAGGCCCAGATACATATGAAGAGGCCTGAGGCATAGTTTTTACTCTGGATACCATCTGCAAGGCACGGGACATGGTATAACAGAGGTCAGAGCTGTGTATAATGCCCTTGGCATCAGGGCATAAAATGGGCAGCCTCCTGTGTTTTACATTGGTTATTTATATATCAAGTCATGGCAGGTGAGACAGGGCAGACTGCCCTCGACAGGTGAGCAGGCCAATGTTGTGGGTGGCCTCTGACTCTCCCCCTATCACAAGCACTATAAAAGCAATTACACAATAATAATTACCTATAAAATCTAACCACCTATGATATTCTAGAAGCCAACAGGGTGGAGAGTCATTGTCTTTGATTGTATTGTAGATATTTACCTTTCAGGTCCATACCTGGTTGTTGGTGAAACTGACATGCACAAAACCCTTGATCATTTCAGAGGTTTACCATTTAATTAATTGCAATAGGGCTTGATTAATCAAATCAAACACTGTAAACCATGAATTGTGAGGCACTGTATAGGTCATTGTTACAGCAGGGCAGATCACACAATATTTGCCAACTGGCATAGGTACCTAGATTGGTGAGGAATGTGGTAACAAAGGAGAGGCAATCACTTTGAAAGGGAAACCGATTCATAATTGATCTAGGGTAATTAGATATGGGGTATTAGCTCTGTGCCAAAAGCTGGAGATGGGATTAACTACTAGATTGTATTTTTGGGTGGTCCCAACCACGAACTTGCATTCTTATGCAAAAGGCACTGTTATAATGACTTATTCATTGGCATATTGCATGTAGGTCCAGACAAACTCTGTGTCTAGCAGTAAATTCTTTAGAAACAGAGATTTATTGTGCATGTATATTCATATTTTCTGTGAATGTTTCATAAATTCAGGGAGAGGTATGTTGACTCCATTAGTCCTATTGATTTAGACTAGCTGAGCCACTGGCTGACAGAGTACACTTGCCTGTATTGTGCCATTACTACAAATAAAACTGTTTATATTAGTGAAAATTACTTTTATGTGTCCATAGGGGAATAAAACCATTCTGACCTGATGTTAAGCTTTTTGTTAGGAGCAGTAGTTTTGTGTGCATACTGTGGTTGTGAAAGAGGATTCACAGAAGTTTAGGGCTGGAAGTGACCTTGTGAGGTCATCGGGCCCAGCTCCCCTGCTCTAGGCAGTAAAGACTGCTGGAGTCAAATAACCCCAGCAAGGTGTATGTCCAGTCTCCTTTTGAAGATCTCCAGGGTACGTGCCTGCACCACCCCTGCTGGGAGTCTATTCCAGAGTCTGGTCACATAAACTGTGAAGATGTTTTTTCCGTATCCGGTCTGGAACCTTCTTCTAGGAGTTTATGACCGTTGCTCCTGGTTTTTCCCAGGGGTGCTTTGGTGAATAGTTGTTTGCCTAGCCCCTGATGCCCTCCACTGATATATTTGTAAGCTGCCACCAAATCCCCCAAAGTCTTCTCTTTTCTAGGCTGAACAGTCCCATATCTGTCAGCCTTTCCTTGTACAGCTTGCTCTGCAGGCCTCTAATCATATGAGTGGCTCTTCTCTGGACTCTCTCAAGCTTTTCCACATCCTTCTTGAAATGTGGCACCCAGAACTGGACGCAGTGCTCCAGCTGTGGCATCACCAACGCAGAGTAGAGTGGGGAATAACTTCCATAGTTTTGCTAGAGATGTATCGGCTGATGCATGCCAGTGTATTGTAGCATCACAGAGGTGGCTCATATTAATTTTATGGTCAATTATGACCCCAGGTCCCTTTCAGAAGTGGTGCTAGCTAGCGTAGCACCACCGAGCCTGTAAGTTTGTTGTGGATTTTTCCTCCCCAGATGGAGCACTTTATACTTCTCAGGGTTGAACAGCATCTGGTTTTGGTCCGCCCATCTAACTAATCTGTCTAGGTCTGCCTGGATTGTTGGCCTACCCTGATGCATGGCCGCACTTCCCCACAGATTAGTATCATTGGTGAACTTTGCCAGTGTGCTTTTCACCCCCATATCCAGATCACCGATGAAGATGTTGAAAAGCACTGGTCCAAGTACCAAACCCTGAAGGACCCCACTGGCTACCTTCCTCCAGGTTGACACAGACCTGTGTATTAGTACTCTCTGGGTCTGACCCCACAGCCAGTTTCCCACCCATCTGACTGTTGAATTGTTGAGCCCATAGTCCCCTAGTTTTACCTTGAGAGCCTCATGGCAAAGGCAAAGGCAAAGGCAAAGGCAAAGGCCTTCCTAAAGTCCAAGTAAATGACATCAACCTCATCCGTTATCCAACTGGTGAGTAACCTGGTTGTAGAAGATGAGGTTAGTCAGACATAACCTACCCGCAACAAAACTGTGATGGCTATCATTCAGAATTTAGCCTTCTACTACCTTATTGCATATGGACTCCATAAGAAACTTTTCAAGGATTTGGGGTTGATGTTAGGCTGACTGGCCTATTGTTCTCTGGGTCCTTTCTCCTCCCTTTCTTGAAGCGCACCATTGGCCCTCTTCCAATCTTTTGAGACCTCTCCTGTGCACCACGAATTCTCAAAGAAGTTCATCAGTGGTCCTGTGATGACTTTGGCTAGTTTATTCAGCACTCTCAGATGGAGTTCATTCGGTCCTGCTGACTTACAGGTATCCAGCCTCCCTAGCTGTTCTTTCACCAGCTCTCCATTGCCTGTTGGTAGGTGATCATCCCTACTGTGAATATTCTGTGTCATATTTGCATACGGCAGGCTATCACTCTTAGACTGGTGGAATACAGATGCGAAGTACTCATTCAGGAGTTCAGTTTTCTCCTTGGTGTCGGTGATCAGATGTTCAGATGCATTGTGCAGTGGTCCCACATTTCCACTGGTTTTCCTTCTGCTACCTACGTACCTATAGAAGGACTTCTTATTGTCCTTGATTTTGGTTGCTAACCTGAATTCAGTCACCGCCTTTGCTTTTCTAATCTGCCTGCTACAGGTGTGGGCCAAGTTTATGTAGTTCTCCTTGGGGCCTATTCCTAGCTTCCATCGTTGGTAAGCCCCCTTTTCTTTTTCAGAAGATCTGCAACTTCCCTATTGAGCCAAGATGGGCTCCTGGCCTCTGTGCCACCTTTTTGTGTACAGGTATGGACAACTTTTGTGCACTGAGGATCATGTCCTTGAGGAATGACCACTCTTCATCCATACTCTTTCCTTGTGGTCCATGATTCCATTGGGCATTACTCACTAAAGTCCTTAGCTTATTGAAGTCAGCTTTTTTAAAGTCAAGAATATGTACCTTACTGACATGACGGATAGTTAAAGTGATAGTGTCATGGTCACTGTCGCCTAGGTTACCCTCTATCATCAGATTACTCATCAGGTCATCCCCCTTTGCCAAAACTAAAGCTTTAGGATTTGGTCACTATTTTTTACTTCTTCACTCTACTTCTGTGAATACAAGCAGCTCTAAATTTCAGAGAGCAAGGTGGGGCAAAGCTTAAAGCTAAAAATGCAGTTGTCCCATGTAACTCATTACTTGACATGAGCTGTTTCTCAGAGTGGGAGAATACTTGCTTCCAGTGAAGCACTGCAAGGGTGATCCCCAGAGGGAGACATCAGGCTATCATTCTTTACTGTTCACACTGCTTTGCCCTCTAGGTTTCAGTGTGTACATTAATTTATTTATTGGCTTTTAGCCAAAGTTGATGAGTTTTTTTCCCTTGCACTGCTTTCAGGCCTGCATCTTGGGAAGTGGGTGTGGAAAGACTGAGTTATAAATTGTCTGGGAGGAAGGCAAAGAGGAAATTAAAGCAATGAGTGCAGTACTTTGACATGCAGTTAGTTGTACTGAGAAAGGACAGGAAGGAGCAGAGGGGAATTTCAACTTGGTTGCAGAGGTCACATTGTTTCTGCCATTGAAGATGACTCTGGAAGCCTGTGTCCTGCTGAGCTTGGTATTGAGCAGCTGTGGTGCTGGGGGATATGCTGAACTGGTAATGTACAAGCAAGGAGGGTAATCTACTCCCCCCTTCCCTCTTCTGCCCCTATTTATTCCCCTTCAGATGGAGCTGAATTGTTTTGCATGATGGCCAGAGAACACCAAGAAAGGCTGCTTCTCTATGCAGTAGAAGGGGGTGGGTGTCACTGAATACCTGGAGGTGGGGTCACAACTGTGCCTCTTTCCTACCCACCTGAGTGGAACATGGACTCTATATTGAAAGATGTCAATATGAAGGAAAAATCTTCCTGATAGTATTGAACATTTATATTGTTAGGAACTTGTCTTCTGGATCAATGCTTTTAGTTAGAAGATGAAGTCTCTGGTATGCCCAGATGTCACTAGTCAAAAGAGTCCCTTTAGCATTTCAACTTTACTATTAAATGGACAAGTAAAATGCAGAACGAAAAGGAATAAAACAACGAGTCCATTCTACAAATTAGCAAACAGACCAGATAGCAGTTAGAAGAAATTAGTTACAATGACTAAAAGGGATAGTGCTGTCATTTTCTGAGGAAGCCCACTTTACATAACATGTCTTGAATTAGAAAAAAATCTTTAAATGTCATATGCAAATAGGGAGTTTCTGTTCCTCGTTGATTCCTTGAGTCTTTCTTTTTAGTAAAGAAAAAAAAAACTTCTAACAGATTACACAGTTGAGCTGATTAGACTAAACAATTTTGCCAGATGTATAAACTAGGCAAACTTAAAAAAATAGAAAGGAAGATTATTCTCCAATCAATTTTTTTACTAACTTTGATGCTTGTGCTTACAATAGCTACAGAGTTTTTCAGCAGGAGTGTGATTCAAGTTACTTCTTTCTCAGAGAACTTTTGCAACCTTTTCTCCTATGCCTGAAGACGGGGTATTTGTGCCCAAAAGCTTGCAATTAAAGATTTTCTTTTGCAAAAATCTGGTTGGTCTAATAAAAGACATCACTTCTACCATGAGTACTGATTCTTTCTCTTTAAAGCACTTGAAACACTGAAATTATAAATTTCCCTCTTTAGAATAGATCTGTCTGTTCAGTTTGTGTATTTATTTTTATTTTAACATGGCTTTTCTCTCTTACAGTCTACTGTGTGTGGTTCAGAGACAGGTATGTATAAATAAAATAGATGTCTTCTACTATTAAAATACTTGATATCTGGCAGGTCCTTTGTCTCTAGAATATATGTTGTACCAAGCTACCAGATGAGATGAACAACCTATTTTTTGCTCATGCCACTTCAATAACTAGGTTGTATTTTCTTCTTTTAAAAGAGTTGTCTCTCTGGAGACAGTTTCCAATACACTGGGTCTTTATCTTCTCAATTTCTTTCTTCCCAAACCTTTGCTACAGTATTTCTCATCTGGGTGAAACACTGGTGCAATAAATGGCGCGGCTGCTTGCAGTCACTTTTGCAGCAAAGTGTGAAGGTTTATGTCCATTGCCAAATTTATACTTCATAAAAGATGCACTCAGTACAGCCTGTGGCTTCAGTTTGCTGTCACAGAAGCACTGGTTTAAAGTTAGTCATTGTTCAATTTCTTGGTACAAGAAAAGTTGTTCTACACCAAATATGATACTGCAAACGTACATGATTTCCAAGCTTACACACAGATTACAGCTTTATCAGATCAGATCAGATCTGATTTGAATTTTGTCCATCTCTTCACACTGTATCACATGAGATGAATACCTGTCATTTAGATACCAGAACCACCGAAACAATCAAATTCTTGTAAATAAACTATTAGTGTCAGAAGCAGAATTTCCTGCGGGGGATGGAAAAGCAGTGGGTTTGTTAATTGTAAACTGTTTCTGAGATACCTTGTTTCACTTATTTTAAAAGTAGCTGAAAATTATCATTAGAATCCACAAACTAAGTGTTGGATACGTCTGTGGAATGCCACACAGCCTCCCTAATTTTCACTCATATCTCCTCTTTGCAAGGTCCTGCTTCTGAGTTGAATCAGGCATACAACTTGACACCTGCAGATCTTTATAATCTCAATGCTAAGTTCATTGAAAATGAAAAGGAAACACAGTTCAGGTCCTACCTTATAAATATAAGCTGGAGCCTCAGCATGGATGGTAAGTTTAACATTCAGATGAATGAAAATTATACAGGTTTTAACAATGCAAGACTAATAACTATATAGTAATGTTTAAAGCACCTCTACTTTCAGTGTTGTGGTATGAAATGAAAGATTGATCTTTTTAAAACCAGAGAGATGTAGTTAGCTATATTAGTCTGAAGTCAAGTAGAAGGTGGGATAGCTTTGTACCTTTTAGGCACAAGCTTTCATGGGCTGATGCTCACTTCATCAAATGCTATTAAAGGACATGCACAAAGCAGTGTATAAAGGAGAGAAACATTTGAATACAAAAAGCACAAGGGAGGGGGAGAGAGATAGGGAGGAGAGCGAGTGGCAGCACTGAGAGAGGCAAACAAGCAATCAAGAAACCTATAGGAACAAAAGGGTCACAAAAGTTAATCCAGGTAAGGGGTAAGACTCCATAGTCCCTGTTTAAACCATACTTAACACAATCCAGTCTGTGCATGATTTTTTATTCTGTAATTTTGTGTTCAAATTGGTTTTTAAAAGTTTGCTGCATACACACAGCCACCGTGAGGTAAGTGATGGAGTATCCAGGCAGGTTAAAGTGTTCTGTCACAGGCCTGTATGTCCTTCTGCATCTGATGTTGGATCAGCATTCATTCATTCTTTCATATAGGGATCTGTCCAGCATAGACAGTAAAGGGGCACTGTGAGCAGGTGATGGCATATATGGCAGTGGTAGAGTTGCAAGTGAATGAACTTCTGTTATAATTTGTGTTATTAGGTCTAGCAAAAATGTTGTCTGTATTGATGCTGGAGCACAGAAGACTTGTGCTATGCACCTACACACACACACTTTGGTTAGTCTATGAGATGAAAATCTACAATGCCTTTTCTAGAAACCTCAGCCTACAGTATTGGTAGTGTTCTTCAGTTATCCAGCTAACTTTTGAGATGATAGTATGTTTTTCACATGACTTTTTAGCAATAATGAAGCATATTACATTAACAATGCTGTCCTCTATTTATGATACAGGAACTGAGGGAGTGCAAGCTGTTTTAAGTTGCCACGAAATATAGTTAGCCATGTTCATCTGAAATCAAGTACAAGGCAGGGTAGATTTTTACCTTATTGACTAACCATAAAGTATAAATGGATGTATATTTATCTGTATATAGCACAAGCTATCATGCGCTGAAGCTCACTTCATCAGATGCTGTGAAAGGATGTGCCAAAAGTTGAGTATAAGGAGAGAGGAATAAGAATACAAAAGACAAGGAAGGCGGAGAGAAGGAGGTGGGCAGGGAAGGAGGGGGCGGGGTTGTGTCAAGCCAACCTGCTTATTTTTAAGACTAGACCTTCTGACATTCGGCTTTTCTACAGAAAATTCTGGTGGTGCCAGTTATTGAGAATTGGACATGAGCTATCTCACGAGGATACCCCACAGCAAGGAAGTGCACTTGAGGCCTTAATTACATGTGGTAGATTCCAGTCAATCTCTTGTAGCCACCCTTTTTGATCAACAGACCACAAAGTTAGCCATTGGCGACGTGTATGGAGTGCATGTGGGTGCACCCCCTGCAAAAAGCGCCGCCAATGCTGCGGGTGGTCGCTGCTCACCAGTCCCTGCCCTTGCCGCTGACACCGCCAGCGGCATCTGCGGGTGGTCTCCAATCGCTGCTTGCCACTGCCGCTGCTGCTGGCAGCATCTGCGGGTGGTCGCCGACCACTGGTTGGCACTCGCCACTCCCCACCCCCGGCCCCCACTGCTGACACTGCCACTGCCACCTGTGGGCATTTGTCGTGTGCCCCCCCCAGCCTCTGGGGGCACAGAGAGTTCATGAAGTTAGCAGTCACTGTTTCTTCTTTTTATATGTCCCCTTTCTTCCTTTGTTGCCAGGAATAACAGATACACATGTTAGGATGCCAGGGAACAGTGGAGTTTGCTCTGACTGTCATTGTGGTGAGCTCCATTCTAGCAATTTTTAGCATATGTACAAGAACCTGCAAAATCAAAGGACAGTCATAATAAAAATGGCACGAGCATTAGAAATATAGTTTAAAAAAGCAAGCCTTGCTTTATGTTCTTAACCATAATATTTTGGGGCACTTTTCATTATAATTTTTAATACAAACAGCCAGATCACTGCATATGCTGTTCAGTGTCAGTGTAAGAGCTTATGTACCACTTCCCAAGGTTGTCTTTAGTAAAGCCTGACTTTGTTTACAGCGAATCTCTTTCGAAGTCGGCCCGGCTCTGCAGAGCCCCCTGAAGTGTGGGGTCTCGGGCAGCCGCCCGATTTGCCCCCCCACAGGGACGGCCCTGTTGGTAGGTCCCTACTTACTAATAACATGGTTGGCTCTAATTGCACACTGGGCATAACAAACATGCAGCTCTTAACCACAGCAGCTGACCGTGTGCTATCCTAGCCAGTGGCTTATGTTAGCACACAGGCTTTTTCTTTAACAGGATAATAACACTCTGTGTAGTGTGTGCAGAATCCCTTACACACGTTTCCATCACCAGTTTTTTCCCTACCTGTTCATGTAGTGGTTAAAATGCGTAACCAGGGCTCTGGTTTATAAAATAGAGGTAAAAGATAGACTGCCATGGCAACCATAACATATTGTTCTCATTAGTGTATGACAGACTGTTATTATTCTTTGTTTAAACTGGCAGAGGATTAGTTCACTTTTTTTTATTAGCTGCAGACATTTATACCTCCGAACATCAGTTTCCTCCTTTATTTCCAGGCAGCATCAAAGAATTGACAGCCACCAAGATATGTGTGACCAGTCACGGAACTGTTAGACACTTTGAGTGTGTTCGATGCAGTTACACAGAAAAGTTTCAAAGTCAAACTACAGCAGGGAATCAAAGAGTAAGTACATTTTTTTTAAGTGATTGGTTTGTCATTTGTTAAGAATAGGGAAACTGAAGAGAGAAGAAGGAAGTGTCATGCCAAATTGTAGGACCAAATTTGTTCTCTAATGCTGTAATTAATGTGTAGTAAAACAAGGGAAAAGCTGAACTGTAAATCCCAGTATTTCACACAGTTTAGTGGATCAAGGGTTTAGCCCTGCAAACATACATATCTTGGGCACTAACAGAAGGCAAAGTTATGGTGAGGATGGGAGAGCTTTTCTCATGGCAACATGTCTCCCTCAGGATTTGTGCTGTGGTGATTATTCTCAGAGCTTGCCTCACAGTGCAGCTCATGTAAGATAGGGAAGGCTGGTTGGGCATTACATTTCATTTCATGACCCGGGGCAGAGAAATGGGGTCATGGAGAGCAGCCCTGTTCCCAGAGCTCATGGAGGATCAATCCAATGATTCATCAGTAATTTGAGTTTCCAGGGAATGGAGAAAGCAACAACACCTGTGGATCATGAAACTGGAGGGAACAGCCAGCCTTTAAGTATTTAATTGGGCCTTTTGGTTTAGTACTAAAATGAAGAGACAAGAGACTGGGATATATATTTGATGTCTTTCTTTCTTCCAGCTGAATAGTATTGAAAAATAATTCTGTTCCTCTACTGGACATACATTGTTTTTAGAAAAGTTGCTGCAGTGATTCTCAACTAGCATAGATGATGCATGGGGAGAGGGCATGGGGGGTAAGTGGCCCCCAGATTATTGTATCAACTGCGGGGCATGGGGACGCAAACTGGCCAGAACCAGGGCCTGGCAGCAGGGAGGGAGGTAGTGGCGTGGAGTTGTGTCCCTGACTGTCAACACTTCTATGTTGTCTATGTTAACCAGAGTGCCAGGACCTATTCCAATCCCTCTGCTCGCCTCCCCCTTCCTACCAGATGCTTGGAAGGGTGCCCCCAGGTGTGAGGATATAAGCACATCAGCTAAGTAGATAAGTACAGGCTAAGGCTTGTCCTTGCCTGAATGCTCCCCCAGCCCTGCTGCCCAGCCTCTCTGCAAGGAGGTAATTGGGTACTATTTCATTCACAAAAGCTATGAAGGGGTGCCTCAAGTCCAGTGAGGGTGTCTCAAGTCCAAAAAGGTTAAGAACTGGGCTCCTGAATAATTTTCAGTATCAAGAATTTAAGACTCCCACAAGTCTTGCAGGAAAATATATAATCTTAGACATTCTGTTTTGCTAAAAATCAGTATTCCTTCTTCAGTGAGCCTCTCTTAGCAGCTAATCATTTTAAAAGAGAATTCTCCACTATATTTCAGCAGCGCAGGAGTTCTCTGCCTTGCAAGAGTGTGATTTGGAACTCCAGTGTGCTGTTTTCCTTGTTTTTCTTCAGTGGCAGTTCCATTACACTGGATTCCCTGTAGAACCAGTCACTAACTATTTCATCCATGCTTACAACCTACCTCCAGCAAATATAAATGAGGATTCATCTTCCAAATCTCTCTCTTTAATTTCACCAGGTAATCTATCAAACATTCTCCATTAAACCTAGTTCATACAAAGGTTTTATTTATAGTACTAGATTGTTTTTCCTATGGAGTTGATTGTACAGAGCACCTTGATAAGATCTGAACAAAGATAAGAATGAACAAAAACAAACGGTATCAACAATATGGCAATATTACTGTTAAAATAAAGATGGCTAATGTGCCTTCACTTGCTTAGTGGTGCTTGTTTATTTTCAAGTTCTTTCATTTTCTTCCCAGTTTCCTTGCTTTCTGTCTGCCAATGATTGTTAAAAAATAATCTAATACATTAATAAGGATACATTTATGTCACTGTTTATTTTTAATTATGAATTAATCGTGGCCATTGTGGTAAGCTTTCTTTGAAATTATAAGGCAGTTTAGTAACTGGGTAAGTGGTTTAAAAAGGGAGACCAAATAACTTGGATCACCTTGTTTGGTGACTGTGTGAAAGGAATAGTCTGTTTCCTAGTAAAGATTTCTGTAACACAGTAAGAACCACTACAAATGTAATAAAAATACACATCCTTGGCTATCTGAACCTATTTGAAAAGCACCTGCTAGAAGGCCATTCAGATAAGTGCAACTGTTCTAAGCTACATATCAGATATAAGAGTAGGGATACAGCATTGTATTAAATGAAGCTTAAAAGAGAACAGTATAATACCAATAGCTACAAGTTCCAAGCTGTATCCAATTTAAGAGTAGAGATGTGGTTTGGTATTAAAGAAAGCATAAAAGAGAGAACAGTTTGTTATGTGACACCAACAGTTACAAGTTAGTAAAAAACCCGTTGCTTTTTGGATAACCAAGAGATCAAATAACAGAGATTGGTAACTGTGGATGTACTGTAATTAGCATCCATCTTGGCAATCAGAAGAAGACTGTTGACTCCTTGGTGATCGCATTTATTTTTCTCACCTCTAAATATGGACCTTACAAGTAAGGGTCAGAGCACAATTGCTGCCTGACAAACAAGAGGTTGATTCCTTTCCCCGCATACAAACCAGGATTTTCAAACTGGCACCTATAAAAGGCACTGAATTCACCTTAGTTTCAATACCTATAAACAGGCATGATCTCAGTTTGTTTTTTATTTGATTTGGACTGTTAGGGGGTGGAGGAGGAAGTAGAGAAAGCAGTTAAAGAGGCATTTTTTTGTTTATAAATTGTGGTAATAAACATGGACAAGGTCTTTGGTGCTATCACAGAGTGCACATGGTTTTTGGTCTGGTCTGAGAGGTTTTTAAAACATTTTATCTTAATACAACTAGGTACCTGCAGTGTATTTATTACCAGACTACCGTACATTAGTGCACACAGATGGCCATAGTTTTGTGGCTGAGAAGATGGGGAAGGTTGGTGACACTTTCAAGCTGGAAAAAATAAAAGAAACAAGAGTGTTGTTCAGTAAACTCATTCCTGTGGGAGCTACACAGAATACACAAGTGTTTCTCTAGTCCTATCTACAGTGTGTTGCAGAGAAATAATTTAACATGTATAGCTGCTTGGTGTTAGTGAAAAAAACATAGGTGCAAAGACATTCAGTGCATGCTAACATTTATAATGTCCATTTAAATTCACAGGCTGTAATGATCATGTAATGAAATATAGCAAAAGCTGCATAGAAGAAGGTAAGTTCAATATTTGCATTCTTTAAGTCATTTTCACAAAATGTAGCACTGTAGATGAACTTAATTTTTATTTTGCATCCCATAATTTTTTTTAAATACTGAAAAAAGAGGATAGATATCTTAATATCCAATTTAGTCACTGGATGCACATGTTCTGTACCCAGAGAGGAAAGTGAAAACTGCTGTTGACTCTTCACAAGATCATCACGTGGAGTAGGCCCACAAGGGACCATCCGCCCTTTGGACATAGATAAAATCAGTCCTGGGGCCAGTTTTGTTCAATATCCTTATTAATGATCTGGAAGATGGGATGGATTGCACCTGAAGTAAGTTTGCAGATGACACCAAGCTGTGGGAAGTAGTAGATATACTGGAGGGTAGGGCTAAGATTCAGAGTGACCTAGACAAATTGGAGGACTGGGTCAAAAGATTTCTCATGAGGTTCAACAAGGACAAATGCAAAATCCTGTACTTAGGACAGAACAATCCCACGTACCTGTACAGGCTTGGGACTAACGGGCTAAGCAGCAGCTCTTCAGAAGAGGACCAAGGGGTTACAATGTATTCAGTGTATTTAGTAAACTGAATATGAGTCAGTGTGCCCTTGTTGCCAAGAAGGCTAACAGCATACCTGGCTGCATTAGTAGGTGTGTTGTCAGCAGACCAAGGGAAGTGATTCTTCCCCTCTATTCAGCACTGGTGAGGCCACTTATGGAGTACTGTATCCAGTTTTGGGCCTCCTGCTACAGAAAGGATGTGGACAAGTTGGAGGGAGTCCAGTAGAGGGTAATGAGAATGGTTAGCGGGGTTGGGGCACATGACTTCTGAAGAGAGACTGAGATAACTGGGCTTATTTAGTCTGCAGAAAAGAAGACTGAGGCGGGATTTAATAGCAGCCTTTAACTACCTGAAGGGTGGTTCCAAAGCGGGTGGAGCTAGACTGTTTTCAGTGGTGGCAGATGACAGAACAAGGAGCAACAGTCTCAAGTTGCAGCAAGGGAAGTTTAGGTTGGATATTAGGAGAAAACTCTCTCACTGGGAGGGTGGTGAAGCACTGGAACGGGTTACCTAGAGAGGTTGTGGAATCTCCATCTTTGGAGGTTTTTAACACCTGGCTTGACAAAGCCCTGGCTGGAATGATTCAGTTGGGGATGGTCCTGCTTTGAGCAGGGGGTTGGACTAAACCTGAGGCCCCTTCCAACCCTAATTTTCTGTGTTTCTATGAAAAGCATGATTTCCATGAAAATATGCAAGTACACAAATGAGGCGACCTTGTCTTCTGTAGTTTGGATATGAGGAGAACTGTATCTTTGCAAATATATATTTATTGTACTAAGGAATGCAATAGCATTATGCTGATACCTGGTGTGTATAGTATCATATCTGATTCATGCCAACCCCCAGCCTATCCAAAGCTGGTACATTTAGTTAATTTACCTTTTGCCATCGGTGTCTCCTTATCCCCTATTGGCCTCTTGTGGGCTAAGATTGAGTGTAGGAAGTATTGAAGTACCAAAGAGTCTGGGATGGAGAGGATGCTTGCCTGTAGTTTCTGAGGGCATCTGAATCCCAAGACCTCCGGGCTTGGGCCTGCACGTAGGATACCTGCCAGTTGATTTGGGAGTATCTGAAGTCCCAGGGTGAGAGGCTGGGATGGAAGATGCTTGCCAGTTGTAGCGTCATACATGGTGTTTCGAACGATTGAGTTCTGCCTGCTCAATCAATATGGTTTTTGGAATGATTGAGTTCTGCTCAGTCGATATGATTTGGAACTGATTTGAATGATTTGACCTGGAATACGAAATATGTTAATGTAAAAAAAAAAATCCCTACTTTGACCAACTGCTATTCTGGCTAACCACTTCAAGGCACCTTTATTTCAGCACAGAGGCCAGCATCCGTATAGGGGCAGATTTTTGCTTGGGGTCCTTCTTAGTCAGATTAGGGCACTGTGTGGAAGCTTGCTTTGCACTATCCATGTTGCGAATTGTGTATGGATAAGCAGAGCTGTGAGCCTAGTGACTTTCATGAGCAGTACAGACACAATGGAAAGTGTTTTAGCCACTTTACGCATTTAAAGTGTAGACTTTTCAACCCACAGGAAGTCTATGGGATCCAAACATAACTGTATGTAAAACAGAGGCAGAAGTGGAAGTGAATTTTACCACAAGTAGCCTTGGGACAAGATATATTCTATTCATCTGTGATACCGAGGACTGCAATGACCCTAGCGAGAAAGAGGTATAACAGATAATATAAAAATACGTGGTTTTCTAGTTTCCTGATAATGACAACTTTAATTTCTATTTGTCTTCTCCTTTATATGATACAAGATACCTAAAGTAACAGGGGATGTAGATTTTCTTTTTTCCCAGACAAATAAGTGGAGCTTTCCTGCTGGCCTGGGTGGTAGGTTTGAGAACAGATGCTTTAGGAAGAGCAATGCTCCAGTGAGCATGGTCCAGTCTTCTTTAGATTTCAAAGGTTAAGAACTGCAGGACAATCATACAGGCTTAGTGCTCTACCAGGATTTGGCAATCTATGGCTGATGGGCCAGATTCAGCTCACAAACAAGTTGTGGCTGACTCACGGAGGATTGACCTAGTTCAGGATGGCATGGGGGGTTGAGCGGCATATAGCTGCACCAAGCCATCTATATCTGCTGCAGTGACCTCCTTGATTACTTGCCCAGTTGCTCTCTTGTGCTTGTGTTTGCATTCGCTAAAGAGGTGCCAGGAGAGGGCTTTGTGGCCCAGGCAGGGCAGGTTAGAAGCTCCAACCCAGATCAGCAAAACCTTGGTGATCCCTCTTCTAGAAGGCTTTTATTATCATGAGAAGTCACTTCTCATCAGTGGCATTTTTTTTAATGTTTGTAAAAATGTTTGATATGTAATACTGTCAATTTTGAAATTATGCACGGGGAGAAGCAGACTGTAAAATTCTGTACATTAAAATGATAGGTATGACAATCAAATTTAGATGAGCTTTACTAATCTCAAACTTACTCTTAAAGAAGATTATATATCAAGATATTCTAATTTTTGTTATATTAGATAGATCAGATTTAAAGATCATATCATTACCTAGAGCAGCTGGTATATACTGTGTTTAATAGTTTCCATAAATCAGTTTGTTACACTGCATGCATTTTTACTTACTGGGTATTTTGCAAAACTTCCCTCTTGCAACTATTTTTTTAATGATTCCTTGTTCCATTTTCCCCCCCTGGGGGTTTCTATCTGCATTAGACTAATGAAACTAGAACATCTGTTAAACTACCTGTGGGTGATCGAAGCAACAACATTATTGTAAAGGTAACAATCAATTCTGATTGAACATGTTGTAGAAATCTTAGTTCCTTTCAAATGAATTAATTGTATGCAAGCTCTGCATCAGTTCTGATTAATGCTCAGTGCATCCCTTCATAGATGTAGTACTGTGTATAACTTGATTTCAAGTTAATCTCTACTTTTCTAATTGTATTACATGGACTTCCTAGACATGGATTATTGGACATCAGGCCTGTTTCTCCTAATGATATAATGCAATATAAACTGTTCAGTACAGTTTTTCTTTGTCAGACACTTGAAGACAAATCTTGGCTTAATATATTTACATTGGGGTCTTGATTAGCCCTGGCACATACCTGTACCATAGAATTCAAAGCAAATTTTTCCCATTATCTTCAATGTGAGCAGGGATAAGCTTTAAGGTCATTGCATACAGCTGTTAGTACTCAAAATCAGGTTTATTTATGGCTCAAGATAAGTGATTATTTTCATTTATGGAGGCCACTGAGATTCATCTCCAATAATTCTCACATAAATTTATCAATTGTAGAGCCATCTTTAACAAAGTACAGCTTTATCAAGAGTAAGCACTTGCATTGTATTTTGCTTTTTACCTTAAAAAGCAAAGCCATAGATGTCATCCATAGCCAGAGAAATCACCCAAAGTGACACAGACAGTTTAAGGCCTGAATCTAGATTTTTTTCAATGAAAGATGCACACAGACTGCTGTAAGTCAAAAGAATGGTTCAATTTAGATTCATTCTAAAACTATTTAATGAGCAATGTATTGTTTAAACATATCCATTAATGTTTGCAAGCTAGACATTGTAGCAGCATGGTTTATGTATAAGGTAAACCAAGATACACAGTAAAAAGAAAGCTAACTAGGCTTATTTCAGGTTTGACATTCACACTGTTAGTAAGGAAACTGTTTTCTAATTTATGTATTTTTATGTTAGTATCCTTTGGAAAAACTCGTAGTCAGTACAGTATGCTAAAGTATGAACTATCATAAAGCTGTTTCTCAGTATTTGTTTCACCTGTGTAAGAGGATTTGTTGTTTTACTTGTTTTCTTCAGATAATTCCTTATTTTCCCAAATGTCAACATGATTGTCCAAGGCGCACAGGAACCTTGACAACGTGCATTCAAAATTACAGCAATGGTTAGTTAAGCCTTTATCATTATTTTTCCAATTTTCAGATGAAGTAGGAATTATAGCTTGTTTTGTCATTTTGCATACCAATCTTCCACTATCCACTGGCATAATCTGGAAAAGTATCTCTGGTAAAAAGAGTTTTGAATTTAAAACACCTGCTAAGCAGATGATAAACACTCTTGGGTCACGTACCAGATCATTTGCAGAGACTGAAACCTAAATTTTGCTAGTCAATCTCCTTCCAAGCTATTTTGATTGTCATGATTGCTTCAATGTCATATAGCAAGCAGCAATGTTGAAAAAGACAAAGGACAACCAGGAGAGCAGCTCCTAGGATGTCAACCTGTTGGGAGAAGGAGGTATGTTCCTTGCAGACCTGGGAGGAAATTTAAAGGCTCAGGATGGCAAGAAAGTAGGATAGGGAAAAGGGTCAGCAGTTTAATAAATTATTTACAAGCTCGTCACCCAATGTATTGCCCCTTTTGCATAGCATTTTAGCTCACTTTCTCCTCCATGTATGTAAGCTGGAAATCATGGTTAAGTAACCGGGGGCAATTTTTAGGGTGAATTATGAAAAAGGCTTCTATTCTCTCTACAAGGCTCCTTTTTTTCTGTTTTAGGGGCCAACACAATTGATTTGATTGGAAGATACATGTGTTTCATCCTTGTTGCTATATTTATAACTGTGTGTGTGACTGTTGCTGTACTATGTTTCATGAAAAACCATGGTAAGAGTTTTTCTCACTCCTCTGAAAATGTTGCAAGGCTATTGTGTTTCACGTTCTTTGATTTTTGTCCCTGCTTCCTCTCAGAGACGGATCATATTGAAGACACTGCAAAGTATCTCTGTCATAAATTGCTCTTATAAACATCATAGTGCTTTAATAGTGCATTAAGCAGCACCTTTAGCTAGAAAATGGTAGACCATTCCTTCATTTTCTTGCTTTTTTCAGTGTAAACATTTAATTTAGATATTTGTGTAAAAACCAGTAGTTAAAAAAATTACATAAAACACCATTTTAATATAGTCAAAACTTAGTAAGGGTCACTAGACTCACTATATGTTTAATATGCATGTCTATTGCTATTGTGCTACTGAACTGATAGAGGGGGAATGAGAGAAAATTAGCAAATGAAAAGAGAGTATTAGATTATTACATTTTAAGTTGTGAAACAGAAGTAAAATAATCTCAGATGGCATCTTTTACCTGATAAGGAAGACTGTCACAAGTGGAGGCCACACAGAGCCTAGATACTTTAGGAGTCAAGGCACCCCTTAGAAAACACCAGCTCCTAGTCACTTGTTTATTGACTATGGAAAAATAAAGCAATTTTTTTTGTTGCAAAGAACTCAGGAAGGCTGTAACAGGTCAGAATGTTTTTAACACTGTGAAGTCCTATTTGAACTCTCTGGCCAGCAGCCAAAGCATCTGTACTGCTCCATTGGTGTCCAGGCTGCTCCAGCATGCCAGGAGCCGGGAGGAGCTAGGCAAGGACAGTTTGCCCGGGGTGGGACAATTTGTCCTGCAACAAAGTTCATGTGCAGGGGTGTGCGCTGAGGTACAAAGTAGCGGCACAAATTTATGCCACTAACTATTTGTGCCGCTGCAAGTGCACGCCCCTGCTTGTCTGGACACAGCCTTTGGGTTCATTTTGTGAATCGCATGTAGGTGTTTGCATACCTAACAGTGCTGCCATTTTGTGGCATACCACAGCACCCTTATGAATCTCACAGCATCCCAGTGTGCTGTGGCACCCTGATTAAAAATCATGGCTTTAGGTTTTAGGAACTACAGCACTTGACTGCAATGTACTGCCTGGTCCAGTAGTTTGGCCCGGACAATGCCTTCTGTAATATACCTTCATTAAGTTTCCTCTTTGTCCCCTGTAGCAAGTGACTGACTAGGTTTAGGTTGTGATGCACAAGGATGCTTACACTTTATCATATGTAACTTTAACCTAATAATAAATCTCTAGGTGTTCTCTATAAAAATACAGTAGATTCTTGTTGGTTGTACAGACTTTTTTTTTTTTTACCAACAAAACTATGCAAATAAGCAAACTAATGCACGTAACATAAAAAATAAAATAATAAAAAAAACTGGAAACAGCTAGTATAATTCTCAGTCATAACATGGCTCTTCTCCATAGGTGGCTCTAGACATCTTTTGTCCCCATAGAGATTTTCTGATAATTGCTTTACAGTTATTACATTGCAGTCAGTCACATTTTATGCTTCATTAAGGCTCTTCCACTTGCCTATGTGCATATGCAGAAACAAGTAACCAGTTCCCAGCAGTAACAAGCCCCATTCTCTTTATCACCAATGTGCCACTAAATGAATGACCTTGTACAGTGTACAGGAAACCTTTTAAGTATACCCCAGTAAAGTAAAATATGTGTACTGATATAAAACACCAGAAAGCCATATGGAATCATTCTCCAAGTTACAAAAATATTTTATGATCGAAGTATCATGCCAAATGGTCTGTTTTGAGAAGAGCTGTTTCTGTGCACTGCTTAGTCACTGCAGTATTTGATTAGTCAATCCTTGGCTTTCTTGTTCTAGTTTAAACTTACACAATCAATCAACATATGATAAAAGCTAATACTTGAACAACTTGAAAGAAACTTAATTGAATAGCTGGCAAATGGTTTGGTCCTATGAAAATGTATATAAATAATCCAAATATGCAAATAACTGATATGCAATAAATTGCAAGTTACTGTATCATCATTTTAAATCTAAGCTCTTGCCTCAGCAATAGTGTATGGCAATGAATTCAACATGTTAATAATTGAATGGCTAAAAGTAAATATCATTGTACCAGTTTTACAATGTCACATTTCATGAGAAAAGGGTGAGGTTCTTATGGAGCTGTCCACCATTTGTCCCTTGTCCTCAATGTAGTAGTTGAGGTAGACCCTTGAGGCTGCTCCAGTTTCTTCTTTCCAATGTATATTATTTTGCATTTGTCACCGTGCACTTTAAGTAGCTATTGTACCACCTGTTCAGGCAGATTTTTTAGGTCTCTCTGTTACTCATTAGTTTTCACATGGCTAATCTGCCAGGTTTTGTCCTTTTCATTGCGACTCATTTTCCAGCTAGCTAATAGAGTAAGCAGCAGTTCCACTACAGAATTCTGTTATTCCCCAACTTTTTGCTGTGTTTTAAAATTGGCCATTTATTCTTGTCTTGTCCTTTTAAATAGTTTCCAGCCTATGATGTTACATCTCACTCCATGTCTACCTCGTTTCCTTAATTATGTTCAAAGCTTTTTGAAAGTTCAAATAGATTATACCAGCTTTCCTTTAGATATTGTTCTGCTGCCTTGCTGTCAGATTTCTCAAATTGTGTTCTGACTTTCTTATCCAGAAGTCAGGTTAGTTTGTTCCTATCGTTTCATACTAATTTAGGTGTTGTATAACCTTCACTGTTTCAACCAGTTTACCTCAGATTGAAGCCAATTTTTTTGTATTTCCAGTGACCCATCTTACAGTCTGCTAAAAAACGGGTATAACATCAACTGCCTTCCAGTCTTTCAGTTAGATCCTAGTGCCTATTTTTTTGTTAATCCTTTCACTCTTGAATTCATTCTGAATTCCCTGATGAGCGTCACCTAGTTCTATTAATTTTTACTGCTTTACTCTTCAGTTTGCTCAGCACATCCTTGTCATGCTTTAGTTTCAGAGAATGCCTTGTTTGTTACCTGGAAAGAGTAGGTACCATCTCCTCAATATTTTCTGTTGTATTTATGTGAAGAAATAATTTAAGTTTTCCTCAGGTGCTCCTTTAGCTCACTGGTACCTGAACAAAACCAATCTTCGCTTCAGTTATGGTGACAGTTTATCTAATTTCCTTCTTAGCCCTGTTTAGTTTCTCTTCTATGCTTTCATGCCATAGTTTACGCTTCTCTAACAAGTAGGGGAAATTGAAGGCCATGAACATTTTTAAACTGACCCCTTTTTATTTTGGTCTTGTTTGGAGGTTATACCATTTGACAAGTTCCTGACAGACATCTTAGATGTGGCTGTGAAAGGAGTCACGTACTTTATTTCATCATATTACACTTAGTTGTACCTCCTCTCTTCTTTTCCTTTTATGATTCAGAAAAAGAGAGCACCCCACCTGGTTGGAGGGAAATTTAAACCATTTCCTCAGGAAGGGGAACTAAGTTAACCATAACATTTCTGAACTTTTGAACCTCCAAACAGTCACAGAATAATAGAAAAGTAGGGCTAGAAGGGACCTTAGTTCATCTATACCTAGGACAAATCCCTAGGGAACCCTTGTTACATTCTCCCAACTAGACACCAAGTCATTGATGACTACTTCTTGAATATAATGATCCAGCCACTTATATATCCACCTTATAGTATTTTTACTTAGGCTGTGTTTCTTTAGCTTTCTAACTAGAATCTACTGGGAGACCATATCAAAAGCCTTGCTAAAATCAACGTACTGTACATCACATCCACCTCTCATCCTCATCCATACAACTCGTGTAGAAATTAGGTTGTCCACATTGGCTGTTACTGATCACATTATTCTCCAGGTGCTTAGAAATAGATTCCTTGATAACCTGAGCTTCATGGGTATCAAGGTCAAACGGATTGGTATGTAACTTCCCAGATCCTCTTTCTGTCCTTTCTTAAAGGCAGGTACTATAATTGCTCTTTTCCAGTCATCTGGGTCCTCTCCAATTCTCCACAAGTTCTCAAAGATAATTGCAATTCATTCTGAAACTACCTCAGTTAATTCCTTCAGTACTCTAGGATTCATCGTGGTTACAATTTTCAGAGTGAATACATTTGATTTAATGTGTATCTGGAGCAAAACTGTTACTGAAAGGTGATCAAGTCATAATGAAAGATGTACTGTCCTGTGCTAGTGAGAAATTGCTTACTAAACTAGTTTCATGTTCCACAAAGAAAACATTGCTAGCTATAGTATTAAAATGTGTCAATTACCAAGAGGAAATGGAGGTTTGGAGTCGAGACAAAAGTTTCATGTAATGATTTTTGTCTTGTGTAGTACATTTTTAAAAACCTGCATCTAAATCTGTTTTTACATGTAATCAGTACCACTGGAGCCAATTTAGGATGTCATTCAAATGCTGATCTTACTTACTGCTTAAAATGTCTAAATTCTAATAAGTCTATTGTTTGATTTTATTATCAACAGAAACAATTATGAAGCGAACTTTCTTTCATCACGCAAACCTACACCAATTTGTTAAAGTGCTAGTTATATATCCAAAAGAAGTCTGTTTTCATCATACTGTCCTAACTTTTGCCAAATTTCTGCACGACTCTTGCCAGATTGATGTTATTATAGACATGTGGCAAAAAAGAAAAATTGCTGAAAAAGGCCCAGTACAATGGCTGGCAGCTCAGAAAGAAATTGCAGATAAGATAATTTTCCTCTGTTCAAGCAATATCAGTACTGAGTGTGATGAGTCCTGTTATAAAAATATAGGAAACCACAAAGATAACTCTGACTGTATGTTTGCTCTTGCATTTAACCTCTTCTGCAGCGATTTGAAAAACCAGTCTTCTCTGCACAAATACATAGTGGTTTCTTTCAATGAAATAAATTCAAAAGATACCCTACCAGCTGCTCTGAAAATCTGTCCAAAATATTATCTTATGAAGGACATTGACAATTTTTGTAGACATCTTTCTATTCAACATAGCCAGACCAATGGCAAAAGTACAAAAAAAGTGAGTGGCTGGCGATCTAGCATCAGATGTATACCAACTGAGGAATACAGCATGGGAATAAAGGATAACGGCGAGGAAACAGCAGCAGAAGAGTGCAATTCCACAAGGCTGTTGATGGGTTTAATGTAAGTGTGCCTGTGTGAAATTGATTCTGAATTAAACACGTTTCCTTTCATAACCCATCAGCTGAGAGAATAGAAGCTAAAAATTTGGATGGGAATGGTAGCTGCCCAACTTACAAAGGTAATTTCTTCTTCCAACAACTAGGAAAATAGTTTAAAGCCATGGTGTCAAACTTTTTTGGCTCTGCAGGCCAAACAACATGCAAGTGCTACAGTTAATTCCCAGGGCTCCTGGAGTTGCTGTACTTGTACAATATTAGAACCCAGGCATAAGGCAGCTCCCACGCACCTCCAACAGCATCTAAAACCGCCATATATGTGGAGTGACCATAGCATTAACTCTCTCTGGATTTTAGAGAGCACTAACCTATTTAGCTCACAGAGGAGGGCTCATCCAGTCCAGTGTTTTCCAACCAGTGTGCTGCAGCACAGTTGTGTGCAGTGAGGAATGTCCAGGTGTTCTGTGGAATTTTGGGCTGGAGCCAAGCCCCGTGCCTGCTGCCACGCAGACAGACAGACAGACGGCAGGCAGTGATTTGCATCCACGTACTGTGTTCAGCTGCGCCACCCTACCCCCCTGCCTGGTCCCTCTCCCTGGTCTGTGCTTGGCTGTTCACCACGGCCCCCACCCACTCCACGTTCAGCTGGTATGCCGCGGGATGGGAGAGGTCCGGTAAATGTGCTGTTGGAACCAAAAGGTTGGGAAATGCTGATCTAGTCCATAAAATGCCCTGTGGGCCAGATGACCTCTCTCTGCAGGCCAGATGTTTGACTCCCCTGGTGTAAAGATAGTAATTTCACTGTAAAATAGTTTTGAGAATTAAGAAAAACAGTGCAGAATTCTTTAATTTGGTATAAAACTATCACAATCTATCATACTATGTAAGAATGAAAAACTTATATACAGCAAAAGCTGTGTTAACCAGCACTTTAGTAGCCAGAAAACTATTAACCGGGATGCGGCAAAAGCGAAACTGGAAATACCAGTTCCAGGTTTTCCCGCTGCTGCGAGCAGAGTTCTTGCCACTTCTTCGGCCCAAGGCAAAGCAGCCTGCACAGGGCGCCCCTCCCTGTCCCCCGGCACACTGATGTTGTGTGTACACCAGACAGTGCACATTTGATTAACCGGAATATTTGATTAACCAGCATCCCCCATTCCCGGGGGATGCCGGATAACAGAGCTTTTACTGTAGATAAAAATATACTTCAAAAAGGCCCTATGTAGTTTGAGAAATGACTTGGGTTAATGTTTAAATACATGCTAATGGAGAAGATAAGTTCAGCATGAGATCCCCTGAATGATTGCCTTGTGAAATGACCCAGTAGTTTGTATTATGCTGACTTGAAGTATTTTTCCTTTACTGAATTTAATCTGAAGCTAAAACTTCCAAGTTTGGTTCCTTCCTCCCGTGTGTCAAATGCTACCAAGTTTGTCTTACAGGACTGTAAAACATCTCTGCCCAAAAAAGACTTATAGAAATAAACAGCAGTGAAAATAGGAGAATTTAATTAATCCACAGAATTTAAGATCACAGGAGTCACTGCTGTTCTTTCCCTTGCATTTACCAACTTTGATTTTTGGGGAATTTAGGCATTAGCAAGGAAGTTCATTTTAGGGCTTGTCTACTTGAGGAAATTAATGCATAACAGAGTACTCCATTTGTAAAGCTGAATTACAGTTATGCATGCTAAGAGAGTCCACATAGGAAGTTTGGGCAGAGTAGCTACTGCAATGTAAATTCACACCACAGCTTACTATGTACTCATACCATGTACCCTTACTGTCAGAAGGAAGGTACTGAAAAGTACCTGCAATATCCATGTATATATCATGAAATCATGTGCACCCATATACAAGTCAGCTCCCTTTGACACTGTAACATGTGAAATCTTGCAATGTTTATTGTACAGAACCACATGCAGACTGTCAAATCCAAACATGATCTTTGTACCCATGTACTTTTCTTTTGTACTGCAGGCTAGCCACCAGATATTTAAAAATAAATGTTATACAAATGGAATTGTGGACCCTTCTGTTATAGCAAAATGACAACAATATTTAACTCAGAGAAAGATACTAGACTTTGTTCTTTAATTACATATCCAGTATGTGAAGAGGCAAAAGATGAAAGATAGGATGCCTTCTGCAGAATACATACTGAAATTGCTCATGACTTTTAGTGAGCAAACTTTCTTTGTGGAAGATCATACAGAAAGAAAGAAAATCTGTGTTAAGACATTTACTTTCTTCCTAAAACACTAAAATATTCCATGGTACTTGCATTACTATTACTCAGAGTTTTGATCTTTAATAAACCTTAAAAAGGTGGATAATTGTCTACTACATTTTAAGTAGTTCTATTAAAATGCACAACTTACTTCCTCCTTTAAAAATCTCAATGTTACTGCTTCTAAATTCCAGTCAAAAGACAATGTTCTTTACAGATACACGTATGTACATAAGACACTAGTATTTTATGTATAGGGTTACAACAGTGTACGGCTTTAAGTTTGACTTGTAATATACAAGGCAACCTATATTATTTGAATGTATATTATTCAGATAAAACGAGCACTCTGTACAGAGTTCAATGCATATAAAGTCTAATGCTATGGTTTTCAAAAAGTACCTAGGCATGATGGGTATCTAATTCTGACTTGTTCAGGAAGATTTTGGCTCCTCTCTCAGGCCCTTCTGAAAAGTCTCAGCCACGAACTTTAACGCATTACAAAAAGAAAAAAAAACAAATAAGCTATAAGTAAGGGAAGTACCTTACACTGAACAATATGACATTTTGGAAAAGTACGAGACAGTTATCTTGTTAGATCACCACACAAAGGCAGCTCTCTCACGTAACATCCGTACACCAAATCGCTGCCATTCTCGCTGATATATCCAGAGTTCTTGAGTTGTATCAAGGCAGGCCAAAACTGCACCCCCTTTCCATGCAATCAAACATGGATCCATATCCTAAATATGGAGAAAGAGAAAGATTAGATAAAAATTCCAGACCTTGTGTGAAGAGAGGTCCTCAATAATTTCAGCTCCCACTTAATTCAGTGGAACATAAGATTCTGGAAAAAAATCAGTCTAAAAATTTCTTCAGAAAAAAAGCATTTGCAAAAACTGTAACTATTTCTCCTTGCGTCTGTTTTATTAAGGAACTCAAGAATCACCAATTTTTATTGTCTGTTTTAATTCGGGGTAGTCATACCAGGAAAAGTCTATCCTTACTAAGATTTTGCATTTAAAACATTTTGAGTTATGTTATTTATATTCTTAAAACCATATTTCCTCTTATTTTTCTTGAATGAATGCAAGCGGAAAGCTAATACAATCTACTGACAACTAAGCCCTTTTCTTAAACTTTACTTTGTTCTTCAATCTAATTGTGTTGCCGTAGGTTGAGTTCCTTGATCTGAAAGAAGCAATTAGTGGTAATCTATAAAACATAATGTCACAATAACGATCTCTTCTACTTTTAGATACAAATATACAATGACAGCTAAGGGCACTTTGTGCCTGAAATCTTGTCCAACATCTCCCCAACTACAGAGCTGATCCAATAAGAGATCCTTACCTCTCATAGCTTATAACACAGCAATCTGAAAGCCTTCTCCCCACAGACATGTAAATGAACAGTGATGCATAATAGATTTCTAAATCTTTAGGATTCCAACTAGCGACCAATAAACTCAGCTTCAACCATTCCATTATCAATCAACATACCTTAGGTCTTGTAATGACTTCCACATTTTCAACAACTCTTCTAAACGAAGGAGGCATCTTGTTGAGAATCCGGTGTTGAAGAAATTCTTGAGCTTTATGAAACATCAGACCTCCTCCCACTACTAGGATGGAACTGTACATCTTCTTCTTGGTATCATCAGATGCTGGAATGATTAAAAAATATAAACAAGTGCTAACATTGTGTGTGCTTGGACAATGAAGGAAAAAAATCAGTCAAATGACTTAGTTAAACTTATATTAAAAGCAGATGTGTCTCAATTACTAACAGCACAAAAGACAACTAAAATGGGCTTTCATCACGTATACAACATGATGGCAGTATAGTTATTTTTTAAGAGACAAACATAAGGGAAAGAACTGTACTTAGATGTTAAGAATTGTTTCAAGCTAAACCAAATGACTGGGAACAAAGTATTCTGAGATCATGTAAAAACAGTTCTTACCACAGCAGTCAATACTGTGAAGAATGGCTTTGTCAAGTCCTAGTGCTTTCCCTTCAAACTGCGATATAGCTGTCTTCCTGGACATGTGTGCTGCTAGAGGTTCCTCAGACTCATTTCCTGTTATTAGACAGTCACCCTGAGAGGATCCTAGTTCCACTTCTTGAGGATAGATCCTCTCTGAAATGTCTGAGGACTGACCACGTAGATCTCCCTCAAATCCACCAGGCTTAGACATGGACTTCCGATCAGCTGTAGCTTTGGCAGACTTAAAAATAAGATGATAAACTGGCAGGTTAGTTTTATTTACACAAAAAAATAGATGTTCCTTCATGCACTACTTGACTACAATAATTTAAACACTGTATTTTGTTTCTTTTACTTCACTTTATCTTACTGAGACCTGCTGAATGCTGCTTTCCAAACCCAGATAAGTTTCCCTAAACTCTTCTTTAAGAAAGTACAGTAACTTCTTTTCCAAGTCCATCCAACTACATTCCTAGCATGAATGCAATTATACTTGTTTAGCTTATTCTCCTTAGTTTCTAATGTACTCACAGCTCTTCAAAAAGTGGGTGTAGATCAGCACTCAATTCATAAATCCTACACATCTATATATTAAAACTCACTTAAAATTATTTACACAGAATTTTATGGTAGTTAGATTTGAACTAAAGGGGATAAAGTTAGACAAGCTTTCAAGTGCAAGGTGTTTTTCATCTGGTCCCCAAATCACTGTATTATGGTTAACTTCTAAACCGGGTAGTTAAATTCTGAGCTTCTTAAATTGCCTATACTAGAGAAATTAGGCTTTACTTCCCTATTCCTGTTCTGAAATGGTGTTAATCCAAAAAGGCTAAGAGATGGCAGTTATACAGTGGCTGCATTTCAATGGAGGGTGAAGAGTTTTGCTAAGCTACACACAGATATCAATAATTTCCTGATTAAGTAATAGTCAACCAAACATTTACACACCTGCTCCTGTTTACTTTGCGTAGCTAACAGATAGTGTTCATCATGGGGATCCTCAGCATCACCTTGTGATCTGTGTTGCAAAGCTGTCATTTTTTGCCCCACAATTCCAAAAGTTGCTGGATAAAACAAAGCCATCGGAGCCTACAGAGACAGATGAAATACTGTAGTTTCACTACAATTTTAGTTTAATGGATACACATGACATTTATTCTAACAAGTATCCTGATTTATTTTTACTGGATTTACAATTTTAAGCATCTCTCACCTCAGAATTGAAGGAAGACCATTTTGTTTCACGAAGGCTTTTAAATAAACATAAATATCTGAGTTTGTTCAGTTGCAAGCCATTGCAAGAGACACCTAGGGACATCATATACCTACCTATAAATGTAACTTAAAAAACATGACATCAGATCGTCAACCGGAGTTCATAAATCAGTGCTGTTAGACAGCATATTGCAAAATAAGGAATCATAGTAGGGAGAAATGAAACTAGCTTCTTCAATTAGCATCCCTGCTCCTACAAATTGCAGTGTTTTATGCAGTCATTGTGATGTAACAAACCAATGGGGGCTAACCTCTTTGGCAGACATGCCACAAAGTAAGCTCTACAATGGACCCAAGTGTCACTGTGATCCTCTTCCCTGCCTAATTTGTTGCTCTGCTTTCTGCTCTATCTGCCACTGTGTTCCTTGCTCCTTATGCAATCCATCATATGGGCACAAAGACATTGCCCACGCCAGCTGTGCATGCATGCCAGCAGGTGGCCACTAGGGCTGTGCAAAATTTCAACTGGCGTTTCATTTCAAAGCTGGTTCGATGTGTTTTGAGTTCAAAACAGTGAAATTTTCAATTTCTTTTGTTTCACAAAACAAAAAGCTTTGAAACGTTTCAAATGTTTTGAAATGTTTTGAGTTTCGAAGCCGAGCTTGCTTGCAGCTAAACAGAAACTAAGGAGAAGGAGGGGGCAGAGGGGGGAAGAACTGCTCTGATATTGACATATAGCTCCCTGTTCAATTCCCCAGCTTTCTCATCACTTCCCCCAATCCTTCCCCGGGGGGGAACAGGCCCCCAGCCGGCAGCAGCAGCCTGATGAAAAACCGCGTGCAGATCTGGGGGCCCGCACCCCCCAAGGGGGCTGTGCCAGACTCCTCCTGGGGGGCGCGGGCCCCTGGATCTGTACACAGGATGACAACATGCGCTGCTGCCGGCTGAGGCCAGCAC